CGTGCATGTGCATGTGACCCCCCCCACGCTCCCCCCTGCTTTTGGCACACAATGGCACGGTGGGCCCAGTAGGCCCGTTTTCGGCCCTCCCCAGGTTCCAGAGGTTTTCTTGGAGCCTGGGGAGGGCAAAAACGGCCTTCCCCACCCCACCGGAGGCCCTCTGGAGGCCAGAAACAGCCCGTTTCCCGACTTCCAGTGGGACAAGAAGGCCTGAAAATCAGCTGGCCGGCGCACTTGCGCACTGGAGCTGAGCTAGGGCAACACTCGTGTGCCCACCGATATAGCTCCATGTGCCACCTGTGGCACACATGCCATAGGTTCACCATCATGGGTATAGGGTTAGGGTTAGGGAGGAAACAAATCGCCAATGTCCTAAAATTCTCAGCTTGCTATTGTTACTGTAGTTTAGGGCCGGGGGGGGGGGCATCATGAGCTACCCTAGTGTGTGCATATGAATGAACATGGTTTCAGCTACAGTCCTCTGCATTGTTATAAAGGGCACAATATTGTTCTTTCTTGCAGAAAAATGTCAAAGCCAAGAAGGCAAGCATACAAAAATCTCTTTCAAGCTGGAAGTTGTGAAATATGCTCAGGAGCATGGAAACAGAACAGCAGAGAAACATTTTGGGCCATCTCCAACTGAAAAAATGATAAAGAGAGTGGAGGAAACAGATGGAACAGCTGCAAAAGGTAAAGGATAAAAGCAAGCACAACTTTCGTGGGGTTCCTGCAAAGTGGCCGCAGTTAGAGGAGGACATGAGAGACTGGATCACAGGTCACCGGAACAGTGGCTTCGTAGTCACCACAAAAATGGTGATGTATGAAGCCAAATGCATTGCTACACAGAAAGGCATTCAGGATTTTACTGGATCACCATCGTGGGGCTTCAGATTTATGAGGAGAGATGGCCTTGCTGTGCGCACCAAAACTAGAATTGCGCAAAGAATGCCAAAAGAGTATGAATGTAAGATTCTGTCTTTTCATACTTTTGTGATATACTCCAGGAAGAAAAATAATTTTGAAATTGGCCAGATTGGGAATATGGATGAAGTTCCACTAACCATCCAATAATAATAATAATAATGTGCCATCCAATAAGACTGTTGATGTGAAAGGTGCCAAAAGCATAACCGTGAAAACCTCAGGAGATGAGAAAATACATTACACGGTTGTGTTGTCCTGCTGTGCAGACGGCACCAAATTGCCACCAATGTTAATATTCAAAAGGAAAACCTTCCCAAAAGAAGTGATTCCAAGAGGTGTTGTTGTGCAGGTCCATGAGAAAGGATGGATGGACGAACATGGAATGAAAGTATGGATTGAAAAAGTGTGGTCCCAACGTCTGGGAGGGCTTCTGAAAAAACCTCCTTTGTTAGTGCTTGACCAGTTTAGAGCACATATTAGTGAAACCACAAAGAAAAGATTCAAAGAAGTGAAGACTCATCTAGCTGTAATTCCTGGGGGTCTTACCAGCCAGTTGCAACCTCTTGACGTTTCCATCAACAAGCCATTCAATGTGTACATGCGAGAAGAGTAGAACAAATGGATGGCTGCTGGTAATCATCATCTGACACCCACTGGACGAATGAGGAGGCACACTGTCACTCAGGTTTGTGAATGGGTGAAAACATCATGGAACTCAGTGAAGGGCAAAATTGTTACAGTCCTTCAAAAAATGTGGCCTTAGCAATGCCTTAGATGGAACTGAAGATGATATCATTTATGAAGGTAGCGAAGAAAATGATTGTGAGCAACTGAGTTTCCTAAACTCTGATACCAGTGACGATGATGAATTCTTGAGGTTTCTAGAAAATTAGAGAAATGCTTGAACCTTAAAGTCTCTCCTCATTTGTTCATTATAGTGATGATGGTTCTTATACCGCCCTTGACTTTACATGGTTGTAAAAAGTGTACATGGTTATAAAAAGTATACATGGTTATAATAAGTATACATGGTTGTGAAAATTATTCTGCTATACTGGTATTTTATTAAATAATATATTACTACACAATTTGGTTCAGAATACTTTTTTCCTTGTTTTCCTACCCAAAAAGTAAGGTGCGTCTTATACTCCAGTGGTTCTTATACTCCGAAAAATACGGTACATTCATTTTGTGTGCTATTCTTCCTCAAAACTGGTAATCTTTCTACTTGCAATGAGTTAAATTGGAGAAGTTAACCTCCTCAGAATTAGCAGCCTATAAATTTGATAAATAAATACATAGACCTTCATTTGCCTCAAGCAACTTGCAGGTGGGTAGCCTCAGCAATTTATTTATTTATTTATTTATTCATTCATTCATTCATTCATTTCTTCTTCCTCTGATTTGTTTAACATATTTCTGTAGCCACCCATGTTATAACAAACTGGCCGATTTCCAATCAATAATTAACTTTTAAGACTATTAAAACGAAATGCATAAACACAAAAACCTGGTTTCAATTCACCACCTGATGTGCAGTCCTTTCTTCTTCTCCCAGTGCTGAGGGGAAAAGCTAGTTGTCCTTTGCTTTATGGAAGACCAGGAGGATAAAAATCTGCCAAACTTCAGGGAGAAGAATGTCTCATGGGGCAGGAGCTGCAACAGACAAGGCTCTCTTCCTACCTCCTATCAGATGGCAACATTTAAGGCAAGGGGCTAGGAACATGCCCATCCTATCTGACCTGGAAGAACAGATAGATGCAAAAATAAAAGTGAGAAAGTAATGACAGGTGCCTGTTGGGTCATTGGTTAGAATGCAGTATTGCCAGCTGACTCTGCTACAGCCTGGAATCCAATCCTGACAGGCCTCGAGCTTGACTCAGCCTTCCGTCATTCTGAGATCGGTAAAATAAGGACCCAGATTGTTGGGGACAATATGCTGACACTGTAAACAGAGAGTGTACAAAGCACAGTGTAGTGGTATATAAGTGGTTTATATGTCTGATTCCTATTGATATAATAAATAGCTTTAAAGACGAAGAGCTTGAATTGCACCTTAAAGAAATCCTGTGTAGCTCTCACCACAAAGATTTTACATAGGAAACCTAGGGGCCTCTATTACTGTGTGCGCTGCTGCGTTCTGGACCATTTGAAGTCTTCTAGTGGTCCAGTGCAGAGATTCAAAGAAGGTGATCAAGGGAAGAGTGACCCCTGTGCAAGACATCCCGGTCCACAAAAGGGCACAATTGGTGAATGAGATGTATCTGTTGAAAGCCCCTCCCCCAGCCATGGCAGCCTCAAGCAGGAATTGTGAGTCTAGGAGATTCCAGTCCACTTGCTCAGTCATCAAAGGGGATCACATGACCCCAGGACACTGCAGCTCACAAAGATAAATCAATTGCCCAGAGTCTGAATTTTCATCATGTTAGAATGCTGCAGTGGCCTTTAAGTGTGAAAAATAGTCATATCACTTTTTTCAATAACCTTGTAACTGGAAATGGTCACTAAATGAAGTAAATCAAGGACAACTTGTACATAATTGGATAGCACAGGATGAATGGCTTCCCCTAGCAGTTCCATGTAGGTGTTAAACCAGGTTGCTTACTGAGGGTAATCCTGGCAGATATGAAGCTGGCAATTGTTTAAGGCTGCAGATACAAACAAGACAGTGGTGGGTTCCTCCTGGTTTGGTCCGGTTCGGCCGAGCCGGTAGCGGTGACGATATGATGTCACCAAACCGGTTCTCCCCCCCCTGCCCTCCCACCCACCCACCCACATTATTCTTACCTTTTATTTGGTCCCACCCCCAATCTATTGCTGCCTCCTGAGTCCCAGCTGATGACTAGAGGGAAAAAACCTGTTTAAACTCTTGCCGCGGGGCTTCAAAGGGCCGTCCTACAGCTGATCAGTGTTAAAAGCAAACAAATGAGTCGGGTCGTAAGTGCGAGGACCTTCCAGAAATGACTCTGACCAGCTAGCCACGCCCACCTAGTCACATGACGTCCAAGCCACACCCACAAAATAAGCCACGCCCACAGAACCGGTAGTAAAAAAATTTAGAACCCACCCCTGAAACAAGACCTTTATCAACTTTTATGATGCAGCACCTGGCTAATCTTGTGAAGCTAAGTAGGGTCAAGCTTCACTCTTCAAGCTTCCCTCAGTTGCAAATATAGTTTTGGGGAGTTATCCTGCACCCTCAACAGAAAGAACTGGCTAGTATAGTCTCCACTGATCCATAAGGGAGGTGCGCTTTGTCCTTGCCTGATGACGCATTGTGTTCACCCCACAGATGCTTTCCCTTGGTTTAGTTCCTGCAAAAGAAGCTCCTGGCTCAGTTGCAGTGAGGATGAGGGCCTCCCTACCAGACCCCAAAGGACAGACTAGGGCTAGAGGCTTCCGTTCAACAGCTTAACTATAACAGCTTCAACCATTTGGCAAGGCAGGTTTAGATGAGTTCTCCTGCAGCTCCACCACCCCAGGCTAAAAACTGGGTGGAACAATCTTCAGCAGCCCCCAAGGGAGGTTCCCTTTCAGGTTGGCTGTTATACTTCATTCCCCCACCTCCCCTTGGATGCTTTCCTTCTGTTTAGTTGGAGCAAGCGGGAAAATGAGTGAACTCTTGGGAGACCTGAAAGAAAAGGTATAGCATAGATTGTCATATAGAATAGAAAGCTATTCCTGTGCTCGGTGGGAGTCGAATACGACTTGACGGCACAAAAGGAAGCACGGAATCCATGAAACTTCTTGCAAACACTTTAGGGTTAGAGCAGGGGCCTCCAACCTTGGCAACCTTTAAGCCTGGGGGACTTCAACTCCCAGCTTTGCAATTCTGGCAGGGGAATTCTGGGAGTTGAAGTCTGCCAGGCTTAAAGGTTGCCAAGGTTGGAGGCCCCTGGGTTAGAGATAGGACGAGGGTGATTTTCAACCTTAGGTCGCTAGATGTCGCTCTACAAAGAATCCCCCAGAAAGCAGAGAATACAGTACAGCAGTGGAAAGAGAGGCCGAGCTACAACCAATTGAAACCATAGAGTATTAGATTGCTAGAGAGGAGGAGGAGGAGGAGAGAGGAAGTTCATCTTCCGGGTCACCCACGGGAGAATGAAGGCATCGGCGGAGCCTCTTGTGCTTTTTGAAGGGTCGGAGCGGCTCCTGGGAGGTGAGTGGAGGGAAGGTCGGGGGAGAAGCCGGGAGCAAGTCGGGCCATTTCGGTTCCTCCTCGGCCTGGAAGCAGCAGTGAAGGGACAAGAATGAATCACGCGGGCTCCTGCTGCATTTTCTTTCTCTCCCCAAATGTTTTCATCCTTTTGCTGCACAATCTAAAGTTGCTGCCTGTGATTTTCGGCAGGGAGATTTAAAGAAATCTTGATATACTGTACTATGAATATTTCATTCATCCAGATCTAGGATGTCTTATTTTTGTGTTCCCTTTATTTTTTTGAGCAGTGTATTTTTTCATATTTCTTAACCACCCATCTCCCTCACCTTCATCTATCACTTCATTCCTCGTGATGTTATTGAGATGTTGCTTTCTTGGCAAGCGAGGAGTTTCATGGGCAAAACAGATGCTTTCAATCTTGCACAGGATTTGGACACCATTTCATCTATTTATTTATTTATTTATTTATTTATTTATTTATTTATTTATTTATTTATTTATTTATTTATTTATTTACTTATTTACTTATTTACTTATTTACTTATTTACTTACTGACTGACTGACTGACTGACTGATTGGTTCGATTTATATGCCGCCCTTCTCCGGAGACTCAGGGCGGCTTACAATGCGTTAAGCAATAGCCTTCATACTTTTGTATATACCTGCTTAGTAGGGCTTTCGCCCCCGCCCCCCACAAGCAGTGTTCTTTTTTATACAAAGTCAGTTTATTGCCCCCACAATCCGGGTCCTCATTTTACCTACCTCGGAAGGATGGAAAGCTGAGTCAACCTTGAGCCTGGTGAGATTTGAACTTGCAGTAATTGCAGGCAGCTGGTGTTACTTAACAGCACTTTAGTCTGCTGCGCCACCAAGGCTCTTGGCTATTAATGTCCGCACGTCTCTAATATTAGATCAAAAAATTTGAGTCAATGCACTTCTGGGGCATTTTGCAGACTGAAATACACATAACTGTTTACATAAATAAATTCTTAGGAGTGTATTTCTGTGTGAATAGGAAGACATATTCAGACCCCTTTTACGTCTGTCAATTTTGTACGCTTGCAGTCTGATTTTACACTTGTTGAAATTCATTTTTTCTCAGTCATCTACATCAATAATAACAAAGTGAAAACAGAAACACTGTTTTCACAGAAAACAGAATTTTAGAAATGTCTGTAAATTTATTAAAATCAAAAAACCCTGAAATACCACATTGGCCTATGTATTCAAATCCTTCACTCAGTACTTTGTTGAAGCACTTTTGGCAGCTATTACAAGTCTTTGGGGTATGACATGAGAAGACACCTGGATTGGGGAATTTTCTGCCATTCTTCCTTGCAAGTCCTCTCAAGCTCAATCCAATTGGATGGCCACCATCGGTGGACAGCCATTTTCAGGTCCCTTCAGAGACATTCAGGTCCCTTCAGAGATGTTGAAGAGTATTGGGCCTAACACAGAGCATTGGGTTACCCCACTGCATACTTCCCTCCATGTAGATGCAGTTCCATTGACGACTACACATTGAGTATGGTTAGTCAGTCAGTTACAAATCTATCTAGTGGTGATGCTGTCTAACCCACATTTTTCTATTTTATCAAGTAGTAGGTTATGGTCTACTTTATCAAATGCCTTACTGAAGTCCAAGTAGATTATATTGACAGCATTCCTGTGGTCCACTAATTTTATCACTTTGTCAAAGAATGCCATAAGATTAGTCTGGCATGATATTTTTTTAACAACCCATGTTGGCTTTTGGTTATTACTTTGTTTGCTTTTAGGTGTTCGCTAATTCGTTGCTTGATTATCTTTTCCGAATCTTCCCTGGTATTGAGGTCAGGCTGATAGTTCTTTAGTTTCCTGGATCTATTTTTTCCTTTTTTTTGAAGATGGGAACTACATCAGCTCTTGTCCAGTCTTATGTCAGTTCCTCGGTGCTCCAGGATCTTTGAAAGATATACTGTAGTTCAGTGGTTCTGAGATCTCATCTGCCAGTTCCTTCAGAACCTTCTGGTCCTGGTGATTTGAACTCATCTAGGGTAGACAGGTACTCACTTACCATTTTCTTCCCTATTTTAACTTGTCTTCATAATCTGTCTTTTGTGGTGCTGTTTTTCCCTTTGTGTAAAGACAGATGCAAAAAACGAGTTAAAAAATTCTGCTTTCTCCCTGTTGTTTGTCACCTTCTTGCCACTTTCTCCCAGCAATGGACCAATTGTTTTCTTGACTTTTTTCTTGTTTCTAACATGTTGGAAGAAGCTTTTTGTTTTTTACTTTTGTCAATGAGCAAGCCTTTATTCATTGTGAGCCTTAGCTTGCCTCACTTCATTTTTGCAGGCTCAGGCTATTTGCTGGTATTCTGCCTTAGTTATTTGCCCCGCTTTCCACTTTTTATACTTATCCTTTTTGTTTTTCAATTTGTCAGAGAGTTCTTTATGCAGCCATGCTGGTTTCTTTTAAGAGCTGTTATTTTTCTTTTTAATTGGTATTGTGCTAGACTGGGCTTTTATAATCTCACTATTAGTGGAATTTATGACATAAAAATGAATTTTGATAATTGTAGAATCGATCAACAGCATAACAAAACTGATAGAAGTGAACAGGATCGGAATACTTTGAATACTATGAATACACACACATACTATGTGTGATTTACTCAAGCTGAAAGGATAATTTTGTGATTCGCTTGATAATTGGATTGCTAGCCCGTTACATGCCAAATGAATCATAATTAAGGGCAGAGATTAAACTAGAATTTTGGTGTTTGTTTTTTCATGGTAATATATGGGATATCACTGCTGCTTTCGCATATCATGCAGCCATTTTAAAACAATAATGAAACTAACCCATTAATATTAATCTTACAGACAAAGTGGATGCCAAAAAGAGCACTCTGGACAACAGACAATGAGAAACAGCCTTAAAATGCAAAAGAAGCCATCAATCAAAATCTTCCACTTCCTCCAAAAAGTGTAAAAACTTTTCTCCTTCTCCAGCTGATTAGAGACAATGGAGAGAATTATGAAAGTAAAGCTTTCAGCTGGAAAGAAAGAATATTTGGAACGCAAGGAAGCATTACATGACAAGTCAAGGAGGATAATTTCTAAATAAAGAACACCTGGAAGTCAGTGGGAAGAAAAAGGTTCCATGGATAGCCAAAACTGGCAGCTATTAACGAAAGCCTTTGTGGAAGGAAAGAGTAGCATGAATCAAAAAACCACCAGGTAAGGGATCAGAAACATTGTTGGTCTCCTCAAGAATCCAAGAATATCAGTGTTGGAAAATCCCCACAGACTACCTAGTTTGGGAAAAACACAGATTGCAGATCACATCTGATTGATGCATAAATTGAACCACCCGTGAAAAGTCATACAAATGTTTGGCGTACAACAGAAAGCTTTACTCAGAAAAGGTTTCTCGTGACTCGTGGAAGGACCCATACCGAAGAGAAACTCTACTAGTGCTCCCATTGTGACAAAAGATTTAGCATGGACACCAATCTGGCGATACACCAGAGGACTCCCACAGGAGAGAAACCATATGAGTGTCTGGATTGTGGGAAAAGTTTTCTGCATAATTCAAAACTGGTGATACACCAGAGGACTCACACAGGAGAGAAACCATATGAGTGTCCAGATTGTGGGAAAATGTTCAGTCAGAATTCCTACCTGGTGAGACACCGGAGGACTCACACAGGAGAGAAACCATATGAGTGTCCGGATTGTGGGAAAAGTTTCAGTCGGAATTCCCACCTGGTGGAACACCAGATGACTCACACGGGAGAGAAACCATATGAGTGTCCGGATTGTGGGAAACGTTTCCAGCAGAATTCCAAGCTGGTGGTACACCAGAGGACTCACACGGGAGAGAAACCATATGAGTGTCCGGACTGTGGGAAAAGTTTCAAGGAGAATTCCAAGCTTGTGATACATCAGAGGAGTCACACAGGAGAGAAACCATTTGAATGTCCGGATTGTGGGAAAAGATTCACTCAGAATTCCTACCTGGTGATACACCAGAGAATTCATACTGGAGAGATACCATATGAGTGTCTGGATTGTGGGAAATTTTTTAGTAGGAATTCCAAACTGCTCATGCACCAAAGGACTCACAAGGGAGAGAAACCATTTGAATGTCCTGATTGTGGAAAAGGTTTCAATTGCAATTCTGACCTGGTGGTACACCAGAGGATTCACACAGGAGAAAAACCGTATGAGTGTTTGGAGTGTGGGAAAAGTTTCATTCAAAATTCCCACCTTGTGGAACACCGCAAGACTCACACAGGAGAAAAACCATATAAGTGTCCAATTTGTGGGAAAGGTTTCTATCGGAATTCTCATGTGTTAGTACACCAGAGGTCTCATACGGGAGAGAAACCATTTGAGTGTCTATTTTGTGGGAAACGTTTCAGTCAGAATTCCTATCTGGTTAAACACCAGAGAATTCACACAGGAGAAAAACCATATGAGTGTCCTGAATGTGAGAAAAAGTTCAGTCGGAATTCCGACTTGATGATACACTGGAGGACTCACACAGGGGAGAAACCGTATGAGTGTCCAGATTGTGGGAAAGCTTTCAGTATCAGGTCTAGCCTTATAAATCATGTAAGGTTACACACAGGGGAGAAACCATTCAAGTGTCCAGATTGTGGGAAGTGTTTCACACAAAATTCCTCTCTTATCACACACAAGAAATTCCATAAGAAGCAAAATTTGATGTGTGTAGAGGAATCTTGAATTTGGTTTCTCTTCTCTCTTTGGAAGCCCAGTTGATAAATTAACCATTTAATTTCTTGCTTTATTCTTTTTAGTCAAACATGTCTTAGTATCAAACATGAGGGAGGAGATCTGAGTTACCTTTCTCTGGAGTTGTGTGGGTGTTCCTTTTCACAGCATTGAGGGGAATTGCCATGCTGGGGCACAGAAAAGGCTCTTAGATCTTATTAGGTACATTTGCCATCTTGAGTTATTTCTATATATAATAAAGGCAGGATTTAGATATGTATGCATGTATGTATTAAGAAATTGTGTATGGCTGTTGTGGCCCGCCCGAGGTCTACGGAGCTGGCAGCAGAGTCAGACAGTGAGGAAGTTGGGGAGGAACATGGGCCAATCCTGGGGGCTGGGGAAACCTTAGGTGAGGACTCTGCGTAGGAGGAAGAGAGGGAGCTAAGACAGCAGTGAGTCAGAAGAAGAGTTAGAGCCTGTTCCTAGTGTGCACATGCGCAGAGCTGCTAGGGAGAAGAACTAAGAAAGCAGGGTCGACTTGGGAGTAAAGCATACCTGGGAGGTTATTGGCGCCTCCCATAGGAAACAAAAGAGGAGCGAATGGGGAGGGGGCTTTTGCAGGAAAGAATTCGGTCGGTCGTTGGAAAAGTGGAAAGTTCTGTTCATGACTCTAAGAGGCTCTGTGCCACATTTTGCCTTTCCTGCGGTTGGAAATTAGTTATCTGGCAGCTTTCCAATTGAGATCAGGCGTGTTGATAGATATGCCTCTGAAAGACTGTATGCAAAGCCGTGCTGATTGTGAATGAACGTAATTCACAGTCGTGTAAATAAAAGGGGTTTTACCTGGACTAAGACTCTGCTTCTTGCTGTTTAAGGAAGCCTAGGTCAGAACAATGGCAGCCCAACCCAATCTAACTCCAGATGACTTACAGCAATAAAACCTTAGTACAGAAACCAATAAACCACATATATAGCAAATAGCAAAATACAAAGCCTCCACATTTGGCATACTCCCACACCATTCCATTCCCCACCATCCAGTCAAAGCTGAAGGAGCTTCTTGAATGAGAAGCGAAACGTCTCCAAAGAAGAAACAGTCCAGTTGCCTCTTGAAAAAGCACTTTGGAACAACCATGACTTGGATGCATGAGAATCTCCATAGACTTTTAACTATCTTTCCATCTTTCTCTATTCTGAACCTCTACATTTCTCTAATCCTAACCTCCATATGTACCTAGTGCTATACTCCCTCCCTCTCTCTCTCCCCATCCTCTAGTTAGTAGCTACCTCCATCCATTTCCTATAACGTTCTATGTGTCTTATCTTTCCTCTCTATCTGCTCCAGCAATAGCAATCGTACTTAGACTTATATAATGCTTCACAGTGTTTACAGCCCTTTCTAAGCATTTTACAGAGTTAGCCTATTGCCCCCAACACTCTGGGTCCTCATTTTACCCACCTCGGATGGATGGAAGGCTGAGTCAACCTTGAGCCTGGTGAAATACCAGAGAATTTCCCTGTTCTTCTACACAGATGTGAGCAATGTGGGAGGGAAATGTTGGCTTGGATTTCTCTGAGGAATGGACTTCAGGCCAGGATCCATTTTAAAGAAGGGGTTTCTTCTGGTTAGCTGAGGGAACACAATTCCCAAACAGGAATGTGTATAAGAATTATTTGATAGAAAAAAGGAGGGAAGTCATAACTGTGAGGTATTTTTCCCAATTTCTTGTTTATTGCTTATATCCTATTGTTTTTGTGTGTTTTGAATATTAAATTTCTAATTTAAAAAATGTGTGTCAAGCAGAAACATTTTTGTGTGTTCGTGCATCCTGCCATTCTTTTTACAATGCTTTCAAACGTGTCTTTGAAAAGTGTATTAATTTTGTTTAGCAAATATAGACAGCCCCTTCCTGAGCTCCCTTTTTCTAGGCCTTGCTGTGTAGGTGTCTCACTCACTTTGACTTAATGGAGATTCCTGTGCTAAGGAAATTACAGAAACACATGGCAATTTGCAGACTTAAAATCCTGGACACAGCCCTGGCCAGGAATGAAGTTAGCCTGGAGCCTCTGGCTTGCTGATGCTTTCATCTCCTAAATCCTTGGGAGCCAAAGGAAATGAGTCATAAAATTTTGCTATGTGGAGAGGTTTGGAGGGCGACTGAGAGCCAACGACTAAAGCACAGGATGCTTTAGATCAGCTTTCTATAAACTAGCACCCGCCAAATTTTTCCCCAAAGCTGCCTACATTCAATGCTGGAATCTTAATTCCTCTGGAAATTAGGAAAGCTTCTCAGAGGAATTCTGCGTTCTAGTGAGATTTACTAGCAAGAATGCAGATGGAAAAATAATATTTCCTGTCTAGGTGTTTTTGGAAGCGATGTGGGTGGCCCCTTCAAGGTTTTGTCCCGTATTTTGTTCTATTAATGGGATGAAGCTGGCAATCATTTTAAGGCTGCATATACAAACGACCTTTACCAACTTTTATGATGCAGCATCTGGCTAATCTTGTGAAGGTAAGTAGGGTCTAGCTTCACTCTTCAAGATTCTCTCAGTTGCAAAGGTAGTTTGGGGGAGTTATCCTGCACCCCCAAGATGAAGAACTGGCTGGAATAGTATTCAGTGATCCACAAGGGAGGTGCGCTTTCTTGTCTGATGGCACATTGTGTTCCCCCATGGATTCTTTCCCTTGGTTTAGTTCCTGTAAAAGAAGCTCCTGGCTCAGTTACAGTGACAATAAGGGCATCCCTACTAGACTCCAGATTAGGGCTTGATCGTCCTGGAGAAAAGTTATGGGTGTAGTGGTTGAAAGTGGAAAACGGCACTTCATTAAAAAATCTTAAAAACATCAGATAGAAATACTGAGCCTATTTTCAGCCTTACGTCACTAGGTAGAGCTCTATAATAACACGTGACTAGAAAATCGCCAATCTAATATCCTGTTTTCCCCAAAATAAAACATCCCAATAATAAGACCAATTGGGCTTTTGAGCGGGTGGCAATAAGGCCAAGAACTTATTTCAGGGTTCAAAAAAATATAAGACAGGGTCTTATTTTTGGGGAAACATGGTAGCAGCACCACCCTGCCTGAACTCAAGACTGAGAAGGTCCCAGGTGTCTTTCCTCCTGCACAGCGCTTTCTCCGGGTGGCAAAGTCAGAGCTGGAAGCAGAGGGTGAGTTGAAGACCCAGGCTGCCAAACTTTCATTGCCCTCTTCAGCTGAACTTATAAGCGATCTTAATCTGCAGCAATGCCTTGAACTGCCCTGCCAGGAAAACCTCCCATGATTTTCTTATGCATTACAAACTGCTTGTTGAAGGCATAAAGCCGGCCAGGATGCTAACAGTTCAGAAGGGAGGGGAATGACTCTCCCACCCCTCTCTTGACCTTGGAAAAGGAATATGGGTGGTTCTCAGGTTGCAACACCAATTGGCCCTGGAATATCCATTGCTAAGCACCAATAAGAAATACCAGGCTTGATAATTAAATTGGGAGGGAAGAGAAAATATAATCCCAAAAGAGACAAGCTACAGTCTTAACAGGTTTGCTACTTTGCAGAAGCAAAGTTTTCAGGAATTATCCTGCACACTCCTCACCCCTCAGGAAAAAGTGGCTGGAACCAAGGGAGGTGCACTTTCTCTTTTCCTATTTGCACGTCATTTCTAGAACTCCCACCCAAAAAAGGTCGCTTTCCTTTGATTTTGTTGCCCCTTCTCGCAGACGAAGCTTCGGGTTCAGCTCCAGGGACAATGAATACTAGGGTTGCCAGGTCTGCTTCCAAAAAATAGTGGACAAGCGGGGGGGGGGAAGGGGGTGTTAAGTAGTACAAAAATAAAAAAAAAATTTACAATTCGTTGTTGGTAATCCATGCAAAAGTAGCTTCCCAGTCTTTGGTGTATTTGCACACTCCTCTCTTTCGTTTTAAAGAATTTGAAATCTCGCCACTGTCACTCTCATCACTCGACGCCATTTTAGGTCAGTCGACACAAGCTACAATACATTTTAAAAATGTGAACTGGACATAATTTTATAATATATTTTTATTTTAATCTCATTAATTTTTTCGGAGAATCGAGTTCAATGGATATTCGATCTTTGTCTCATTCTAACTTATGAAAAAAAAAAGACAAAACGCGATTCTCCTATCCTTATTCTCTTAGACTGTACAGCAGTGGTTCTCAACCTTCCTAATGCCACGACCCTTTAATACAGTTCCTCATGTTGTGGTGACCCCCAACCATAAAATTATTCCTAAAATCATTGAAAATATGTGTTTTCCGATGGTCTTAGGCGACCCCTGTGAAAGGTCGTTCGACCCCCAAAGGGGTCCCAACCCACAGGTTGAGAACCACTGCTGTACAGCTTTAGATTATGTACCATTTCATCATAAAGCTTTTGAATAAAAAAAATGTCCACTATTTTGTGAAAAAAAATAGTGAACATAATGTGAAAAAAGCGGACTGTCCGCTCAAAGAGTGGACACCTGGCAAGGGTAATGAATACCCTCTTGGGGGACCTGAAAGAAAAGGTTTGGGGTGGAGCCTCAGGGAGAAAAGCTACCGATGAGCTCGATGGGAATCAAATAGGACTTGTTGGCACTTAAGGAAGCACGGAATCCATGAGAACATCTTCAAACGCCTTAACGAGCATCTAACGCCTTATGTCGCTAGATGGCGCGCTACAAGGAAAACAAAGCTCGGTACAGCGACGGCTGAGCTATTCTAGGGAAGGCGGAGAGGCTGAGATTGAACGGGTTGAAATCATAGAGTAGTAGATTGCTAGAGCGGATGTACACAGAGACGAGGAAGCGAAGGGCAGAGGGACTTCCTCTTCCGGTTCAGGCAAGGGAGGATAATGGCGTCGGCGGATCCTTTTGTGCTGTTTCAAGGGGTCGAAGAGGCTCCTGGGAGGTGAGTGGAGGGAAGGTCGGAGGAGAAGCCGGGAGCAAGTCGGGCCCTTTGGGTTCCTCCACGGTGTATGAAGCAGAGGAAGCAACGAGGGTGAATCCTATTGGCTGCTGCTGCATATTCTTTCTTTTCCCAAATTTTATTCTGCTGGGAGATTTAAAAATAATACATTTATTTCATATTTCTCAAACACCCATCTTAAGTGTCAGTTTTCATGTTGATTTCTTCTGATTTTATTGGCATGTGGTTTTCCTGGCAAGCGAGGAGCTTCATGGGCCAAACGGAGGCTTTAGATCTTGAATAGGAATTAGGAGACACTAATTTCATCTATTAGTGACTCCTCCCCCCCCTTTCTAACCCAGATAAAACAATTTGAACGAATGCACTTTGGGACAATTTCCACACCGAGATACGCATACATTGTCTACATATATTCATAGGTGTGTGTTTCTGTGCTCATATGCCTGCATACATGAGTGTATTTATCCAAATCAAAAATTTAAGTGTAATATTATACCATATATCTGCCTGAGGAGGAAGCTGGACTAGAAGACCTCCAAGGTTCCTTTCAACTCTACTCTGATTGATTGACTGATTGATTGAAAAAGAGAATTTTATAATGGTGTCGATATTTGAACTTGGATCTTGTTAGGCTTCTCTATGCCAAATCAATCATAATTAATATTAGAGATTAAAATAGAATTTTAGTGTTTGTTTATTCATGCTAATATATGAGATGGGGATGATTTTTTTGTTTTTGCTGCTTTCACATGTGCTGCAGGCATTTTTAAACAATAATGAAACTAACCCATTTATATTAATCTTACAGAGAGAGAGAGGATGCGAAGAAGAGCACTCTGGACAACAGAGAATGAGAAGCAGCATTAAAGTGCAAAATAAGCCATCATTCAAAATATTTTCCAATTCACCTGGAAATCTTCCTCAGCAGATGAGAGAAGAGGGAAAGAATAACAAGAACAAAGTTTCAAGCTGGAAAAAATAAAGGAAATGGAAATGGAAAAAACATTAAATGAGAAATCAAGGAGGATAATATTTAAATAAAGAAAAAGTGAGGAACAACCTGAACTCAGTAGGAAGGAAAAGGTTCCATGTAAAGCCAAAACTGGCAGGAAATAATTAAAGCCTTTAAGGAAGGAAAAAATGGCTTGAACCAAACAACTACCAGGCAGGAGATCAGAAATGTTTTTCCCCGCCTCAGGAATCCAAAAGTATCAGTGTTGGAAAATCCCCACAGGCTGCCTATTTTGGAAAAAACAAACATAAATATTGCAGATCATATCTGATTGATGCATAAGTCGAACCATCCTGTGAAAAGCCATATAAATGTTTGGAGTGCTACGGAAGCTCTACTCAGAACAGGTATCTCGTCATTTGTGGAAGGACCCATACCGAAGAGAAACTCTACCAGCACTCCCCCTCTGAGAAAAGATTTAGCATGCACACCAATCTGCTGATACACAAAAGCACTGACACTGGGGAGAAACCATATGAGTGTTTGGATTGTGGGAAACGTTTTCTGCATAATTCCAAGCTGGTGATACACCAGAGAATTCACACTGGAGAGAAACCATATGACTGTCCAGATTGTGGGAAAAGGTTCAGTCAGAATTCAAACCTGGTGATACACCGGAGGACTCACACTGGAGAAAAACCATATGAGTGTCCTGATTGTGGGAAAAGTTTCCAGCAGAATTCTAAGCTTGTGATACACCAGAGGACTCACACGGGAGACAAACCATATAAGTGTCCAGATTGTGGGAAAGGTTTCAATTGGAATTCCGAGTTGGAAGTACACCAGAGGACTCACACTGGAGAAAAACCATATGAGTGTCCGAATTGTGGGAAAAGTTTCAGTCGGAATTCCCACCTGGTAGAACACCAGAGGACTCACACAGGAGAGAAACCATATGAGTGTCCCGATTGTGGGAAAAGGTTCCAGCAGAATTCCAAGTTGGTGATACACCAGAGGACTCACACGGGAGAGAAGCCATATGAGTGTCCTGATTGTGGGAAAAGTTTCAAGCAGAATTCCAAACTGGTGATACACCAGAGGACTCACACAGGAGAGAAACCATATGAGTGTCCGGATTGTGGGAAAAGTTTCACTCAGAATGCCAACCTGGTGATACACCAGAGGACTCACACTGGAGAGATACCATATGAGTGTCTGGATTGTGGGAAACTTTTTAGTAGGAATTCCAAACTGCTCATGCACCAGAGGACTCACACGGGAGAGAAACCATTTGAATGTCCTGATTGTGGAAAAGGTTTCAATTGGAATTCTGATCTGGTGATACACCAGAGGATTCACACAGGAGAAAAGCCGTATGAGTGTCTGGAGTGTGGGAAAACTTTCATTCGAAATTCCCACCTTGTGCAACACCGCAGGACTCACACAGGAGAAAAACCATATAAGTGTCCAGATTGTGGAAAAGGTTTTTATCGGAATTCCCACCTGGTAGTGCACCAGAGATCTCACACAGGGGACAAACCATATCAGTGTCTGGATTGTGGGAAAAGTTTCAATTGGAATTCTACCCTAGTGATACACCAGAGGACTCATACAGGAGAAAAACCATATGAGTGTCTCGAGTGTGGGAAAAGTTTCATTCGAAATTCTGACTTGGTGATACACCAGAGGATTCACACAGGAGAGAAACTCTATGACTGTTTGGATTGTGGAAAAAGTTTCAGTCAGAATTCTCATCTGATGTTACACCAGAGGTCTCACACGGGAGAGAAACCATATGAGTGTCTATTTTGTGGGAAAGGTTTCAGTCAAAATTCCTATCTGGTTAAACACCAGAGAATTCACACAGGTGAAAAACCATATGAGTGTCCTGAATGTGGGAAAAGTTTCATTCGGAATTCCGGCTTGGTGATACACTGGAGGACTCACACTGGGGAGAAACCTTATGAGTGTCCAGATTGTGGGAAAGATTTCAGTATCAGGTCTAGCCTTATAAATCATGTAAGGTTACACACAGGGGAGAAACCATTCAAGTGCCCAGATTGTGGGCAGTGTTTTACACAAAATTCCTCTCTTACCGCACACAAGAAATTCCATATGAAGCAAAATTTGATATGTGTAGAGGAATCTTGAATTTGGTTTCTCTTCTCTCTTTGGAAGCCCAGTTGATAAATTAACCATTTAATTTCTTGCTTTATTCTTTTTAGTCAAACATGTCTTAGTATCAAACATGAGGGAGGAGATCTGAGCTATTTTTCTCTGGTGGTGTGTGGTTGTTCCCTTTCATAGTGTCGACGGGAATTGCCATGCTGGGCCAGAGAAAAGGCGCTTAGTTCTTATTAGGTATATTTGTCAACTTGAGTTAATTCTACATATAATAAAGGCGGGATATAGATATGTATATATGTATGTATATATGTATTTTTATTTATGAAGAAATTATGTATGGCAGCCCAACTCAACGTGACTCCAGACTGCTTATAACAATAAAACCTTAATACAGAAACCAATAAACCCCATATATAGCAAATAGCAAAATACAAAACCTAGAGATTTGACATTTGACATACTCCCTCATCATTGCATTCCCCACCATTGTTCCCCAGCAGACTGAAAAGGGCCCAGGTGTCTTCCTCCTACACAGCCCTTTCACTGGGTGGCAAAGTCAGAACTGCAAGCAGAGAGTGAGTTGTAGTCCCAAGCTGCCAATCTTTCATTGCCCTCTTCAGCTGCAATTAGAAAAGATCTGAATCTGCAGCAATGCCTTGAACTGCCCTGCCAGGAAAACCTCTCATGATTTTATTATGCATAGAAAACTGCTGTTGAGGGTATATAGCCTGCCAGGATGGCAAATGTCCAGAAGGGGGGAAATCGTTCTTCCAGCCCTCTCCTGATATGGAAAAGAAATTTATTTATTTATTTATTTTTATATGCCGCCCTTCTCCGGAGACTCAGGGCGGCTTACAATGCGTTAAGCAATAGCCTTCATACTTTTGTATATTTTATACAAAGTCAGCTTATTGCCCCCACAACCTGGGTCCTCAATTTACCCACCTTAGAAAGGATGGAAGGCTGAGTCGACCTTGAGCCTGGTGAGAATTGAACTTGCAGTAATTGCAGGCTGCTGGATGTTAAATGCTGCCTTAGTAGGAGGCATTAGCCTCCTATGCCACTCAGGCTCCACCAATATGGGTGGTAGTCAGTTTGTAACAGCCGTTAGTGCTAGAACTACTTTATCAGGAGGCAACTGGACTTTCTGGCTTTTCTTTGAAGATGTTTCGCTTCTCATCCAAGAAGCTTCTTCAGCTCTGACTGGATGGTGGGGGATGGAAGGAGTCCTAGTCCTTGCAGACAGCTTGCCATTTGCATTCTTTCAGAGAGTCTTTAAGGCCGCCTGGAGGTTTATCTGTGTCCTCAGGGTCACGTGAGTAGTGGAAATAGGTGTGGAGCCTTCGTGACTGCAGGATGGTTTCGGTCCTGTGTTCCTTCACTGTTGGAGGTGAGTCTCTGTTGTCCGCACCTCAAATTGAAGCGAAATGCTTCCTTTAATTTTTCTGGAAAGCCATTGATAACGACCTGGCTGACTGAGAATCCCCATAGACAATTGGTGCCAGACTTTCCGTTGCTAAGAAGGGATGGGGCACCAATAGGATATACCATGCTGGTTAGCTGAACAAGGAAAGTAAAATAAACTAAATTCACAGAAGAGATAAGGGGTCAAGCTTCAGTCTTACAGGTTCTCTAAGTTGCAGAGGCAGGTTTTGAGGAGTTATCCGACACCCCCCAAGAAGAAAAGCTATCGGAAAACAAGGTGGGATGCACTCTGAATTTTCCTATGTGCACTTCATTTCTATCCCCCCACCTACCCCCAAAAGGGAGCCTTTGGTTTAGTTGCCGCTTCTGGCAGTTCGGGCTCAGCTCCAGGTACAATGGGGGATGTGAAAGAAAAGTTTGGGGGTGGATCCTCAGGGAGAAAAGTTATCGATGAGCTCCTTGGGAAGGTCTCCTGCTTGGGCAGGGGGTTGGACTCGATGACCTGCAAGGTCCCTTCCAACTCTGTTAATCTGTTAAATAGGACTTGATGGCACTTAAAGAAGCACGGAATCCATGAGAACATCTTCAAACGCCTTAGGGTAGAACAAGCATGTCCTTCCGCCTTATGTCGCTAGATGGCGATCTACAGAGAAGCAATATTGGCGCCTAGAAAGCAGGGACTGTATAGCTGCAGCATAGTTATTCAAGGGAAGGGAGACAGGCTGAGATTGAACGAGTTGAAACGATAGAGAACTATTTTGCTAGAGAGGATATGGAAGGGAGGAGGCGAAGGGCAGAGGAACTTCCTCTTCCGGGTCACCTACGGGAGGATAATGGCGTCGGCGGAGCCTCTTGTGCTGCTTGGAGGGTGGAAGCGGCTCCTGGGAGGTGAGTGGAGGGAAGGTCGGAGGAGAACCCGGGAGCAACTCGGGCCCTTTGGGTTCCTCCACGGGGTATGAAGCAGAGGAAGCAACGAGGGTGAAACATGCAGGCTGCTGCTGCATATTCTTCCCTTTCCTAAATTTTATTCCTCTGCACGATTTAAAACTTCTGCCTGTGGTTTTCTCCTCGGAGATGGCAGATATGGGAGATTTAAAAAAATCTTTATATATTTTTCACATTTCTTAACCGCCCAGTTCCCTCATCCTACACCTAACACTTGATTCCTTGTGATTTTATTGAAATGTTGCTTTTTATGGGCAAAACGGAGGCTTTAAATCTTGCATAGGATTTGGGCATCATTTCATCTGTTAGTGTCCCCACTTTTCTAAATTTAGATCAACCAAATAGACTCAATGCACTTCTGGGACATTTTGCAAACTGAAATACACATATATTGTCTACATACATAAATTGATAGGTTAGTATTTATGTGCTCATATGCGTGCATGTATGACTGATTTACCCGAGCGGAAAAGAGGGTCTTATGATTGAGCCCATATTTGAGCTTGGATCTTGCTAGTCATCTATGTCCCAAATGAATCATAATTAATTTTAGAGATGAAACCAGAATTTTGGTATTTCTTTATTCATGAATACACACTGTGTTTTCTTGCTGCTTTCACATGTTCCGCAGCCATTTTTAAAATAACAATAAGATGAATAATCCATTAAGATGAATGCACAATTTAAAACTGCTGCCTGATTTGGGACATTTAAAGAAATATTTTATATATTTTTCATAATTGGTAACCGATCATCTCCTTCAGCCTTCACATAACACTTGATTTCTGTTATTCACATGTTTTTTTCCTGGCAAGCAAGGAGTTTCATGGGCAAAATGGGTGCTTATGATAGAGTTGATATTTGAACTTGGATCTTGCTAGTTTTCTATATGCTAAATCAATCATAAGTAATATTAGAGTCTAAAATAGAATTTTGATGTTTATTTTTTCGTGCTAATATATGGAGTGTTTTTTTGCTGCTTTCATATGTCTTGCAGCCATTTTTTTAATGAATAGTGAAACTAACCCATTTATATGAATCTTACAGAGAGAGAGGATGCCAAGAAGACCACTATGGACAACAGAGAATGAGAAGCAGCATTAAAATACAAAATAAACCATCAATAAAAATCTTTTTTGATTTCTCTACAAAGTGGAAAAGCTCTTCTTCCTCGGCAGATGAGAAACAAGGGAAAGAAAAACAAGAAAAAAGTTTTGAACTGGAAAAATTAGAATATATGGAACTGAGGAAAACATTACATGAAACGTCAAGGAGGATAATTTCTAAATAAAGAAAAAATACTTGGAAATGAGTGGGAAGAAATATGTTCTGTGGTTAACCAAAACTGGCCGGCCTTTAAGGAAGGAAAGAGTGGCTTGAACCAAACAAACACCAGGTAAGAGACCAGAAATATTTTTCACCTCAAGAATCCAAGAATATCAGTTAGAAAAACTCAACGGACTGCCTAATGTGGGACAAACATAGATTGCAGATCACAGCTGATTATGCAGGAGAGGATACACCCAATGAAAAGCCATACAAATGTTTGGAGTGTGGCAAAAGCTTTACTCGGAAAAGCTTCCTTGTGATTCATGGAAGGACCCATACTGGAGAGAAGCTCTATCAGTGCTCCCAATGTGGCAAAAGATTTAGCATGCATTGCAATCTGGTGAGACACCAGAGGACTCATACCGGGGAGAAACCCTTTGAATGTCCTGATTGTGGGAAAAGTTTCAGTCAGAATTCCAATCTGGAGATACACCAGAGGACTCACACAGGAGAGAAACCATATGAGTGTGCAGACTGTGGGAAATGTTTCAGACAGAATTCCAATCTGGTGAGACATCGGAGGACTCACACAGGAGAAAAACCATATGAATGTTTGGATTGTGGGAAATGTTTCCAAGATAATTCCAACCTGATGAATCATAGGAGGACTCACACAGGTGAAAAGCCCTATGAGTGTCTGTATTGTGGGAAAAGTTTCAGGCAGAATTCCCATCTGGTGGAACATCAGAGAATTCACACAGGAGAAAAACCATATGAGTGCCTAGATTGTGGGAAAAGATTTAGATGGAATTCTCACCTAGTGGTGCATCAGAGAACTCACACAGGGAACAAACAGTATCAGTGTCTGGATTGTGGCAAACGTTTCAAGCAGAATTCCAACTTGGTGATTCACCAGAGGACTCATACGGGAGAGAAACCCTATGAGTGTCTGGATTGTGGAAAAAGTTTCAAGCATAATTCCAACTTGATGATTCACCAGAGGACTCACACAGGACTGAAACCGTATGAGTGTTCAGAATGTGAGAAAGGTTTCAGTTGTAAGTCTGAACTGGTGAAGCACCAGAAGACTCACACTGGAGAGAAACCATACGAGTGTCTGTATTGTGGGAAAAGTTTCAGTCAGAATTCCAATTTGGTGATACACCAGAGAACACACACAGGAGAAAAGCCATATCAGTGTCTGGATTGTGGGAAAGGATTCAGTCAGAATTCCCACCTGGTTATACACCAGAGGACTCACACCGGAGAAAAACCGTATGAGTGTTCAAAATGTGGGAAAGGTTTCAGTTGCAAGTCTGACCTGGGGAAGCACTGGACGACTCACACGGGAGAGAAACCATATGATTGTCTGTATTGTGGAAAAAGATTTAGCATGCATTCCAATCTGGTGAAACACAAGAGGACTCACACAGGGGAGAAACTCTTTGAATGTCCTGTTTGTGGGAAAAGTTTCAGTCAGAATTCCCACCTGGTGGAACACCAGACGACACATACAGGAGAGAAACCGTATAAATGTAGTGATTGTGGGAAAAGTTTCAGTTTGAATTCCTACCTGGTGAGACACCAGAGGACCCACACAGGTGAAAAACCATATCAATGTCCAGATTGTGGGAAAGGTTTCAGTCAAAATTCCTACTTGGTGAGACACCGGAAAACTCACACAGGAGAAAAACCATATGAGTGTTTTGAATGTGGGAAAACTTTCAATCGGAATTCCCATTTGATGAGACACTGGAGGACTCACACAGGAGAGAAACCTTACGAATGTCCTGATTGTGGGAAAGATTTCAGTTATAGGTCTAGCCTTATAAAGCATGTAAGGTTACACATAGGGGAGTAACCATTCAAACGCCCAGATTGCAGACAGGGTTTCACACAAAGTTCACACTCGTAACTCTAAGGCAAGCTGTTCCATTGGTTAATTGTTCTGACTGTCTTAACATTTTCCTTATTTCTAGTTTGAATCTTTCCTTGATCAGTGTGCACCCACACTGCCTTTGGGTGCTTTGCAAAATCGTTTCCTCCTCCCTTTGTGACAGCCTCTCAAATATTGAAAGACTGCTTTCATGTCACACCTGGTTCTTGTCTGCACTAGACTAGCCATGCCCAATTCTTGTAACTGTTCTTCATACGTTTTAGCCTACGAGCCTTTGATCTCGGCTTCCTTTCTTCTACCTTTTTCTTTCCTTTCTCTTATCCCATCTGAGCTTCCTTTTTCTTTCTTCTACCTTTTTCTTTCCTTTCTCTTTCTCATCTGATATTCCTTTTTTTGGCCCAGTGCAGTAGGTTCCTTTCACAGAGTCGAGGGATCTGCGATTGCTGGGCCAGAGAAAGCGAGTTTCGAGCTCTATTAGGTATGCTTGACTTAATTCTACTTATTTCTGTAGAACATGTAAAATGTATGTATGTATGTATATACTACAATAGTATAGGGCCGTGATGGCGAACCTATGGCACGCGGAGCCATATTAGTGGGCATGCCAGCTCAGCTCTGGGGCGCATGCGCGTGCCGGCCAGCTGATTTTTGGGCATTCTGGGCCCACCAGAAGTAGGGAAACAGGCTGTTTCCTGCCTCTGGAGGGCCTGGGTGGGGTGGGGAAGGCCCGTTTTTCTTTCTTACCTGGCTCCAGATCCTCTCCATGTATCTGGGAACGGCGAAAGCAGTCTTTCCCACTCCCTTGGAGGCCCTACGGAGGCTCAAAGGGCCCATTTCCCCACTCCCGGTGGGACAGGAAGTGATGTTTTTTCCTGTCCCCAGCCTCCAGAGACTCCTAGAGAGGCTCCTACATACTCCTAGAGAGGCTCCTAGAGAGGTTTTGGAGGCTGGGGACAGCAAAAAATGTCACTTCCTGTCCCACCGGGAGTTGGGAAATGGGCCTTTTCAGCCTCCGTAGGGCCTCCAAGGGAGTGGGAAAGGCTGTTTTCGCCGTTCCCAGATACACGGAGAGGATCTGGAACCAGGCAAGAAAGAAAAACAAGGCCTACCAGGCCATCATGTGCCAGGAGCGGGGGGGGAGGGGGTTGCGCACACATGCGCGTGGGCACGTGCGTGCACGACCCTCCCCCGCCCCCCCCTCTCCTGGCACGCGATGGCAAAAAGGTTAGCCATCACTGGTATAGGGTCTCCTGCTTGAGCAGAAGGTTGGACTAGACCTCCACAATCCCTTCCAACTCTGTTATTCTGTTCTGTTTTTATTTAGCCTGAAAATGTATATGGCAGCCCAAGTAATGTTGATTCCAGACAGTTTACAGCAATAAAACCTTGATACAAAACCCAATAAACACCATATATTGCAAAATGCAAAACATCCACATTTAACATGTACTAATTTGATAATTAAATATGTAGAGTGCCTCAAGCAAGTTGCACAAGGACAGCCAAAGTGCAGCCATTTTTGGGATTCATCTTTTTTTTCCTCTGATTTATTTAAAATATTTATGTAACCATGGTATAACAAACACTGGCCGGTTCCAATCAATAATTGACTTAAAATTGTATAAAAGCCAAATACATATAACCAAAAACCAGATACCAAATCAAGCTTCTGATGTGCAGGCATCTCTTATCCCAGTGCTTAGGGGAACAGCTAGATCTTCCCTGTTTTACGGAAGACTAGGAGGATAAAGGCCTGCCAAACTTCAGGGGGAGGAGTTTCATAGGGAAGAGTCTGCAATGGAAAAGGCTCACTTCTTAGCTCCTATCACATGGCAATATTTAAAGGAAGGGGCTAGGAGCGTGGCCACCCTACCTGACCTAGTAGGAGAGATGGATGCAAGAAAAATAAAGGTGGGACAGTAGTGATAGGTGCCCTGTGGGCTCAGTAGTTAGAATGCAATATTGCTGGCTGACTGCCCACAGCCTGGACTTCAATCCTGACGGGGATCAAGATAGTCTGACTCTTCCATTCTTCTGAGATCGGTAAAATGGGGACCCATATTTTTGGGGACAATATTCTGACACTAAACCAAGAATGCTCTACAGCACTGTGGGTGGTATATAATCAGTGCTATTGTTATAATAACGAAATAACTATAAATGTGATGACCAGCATCTTCAATTGCATCTTAAAGAAAAGAATCCAGTGCAGCTCACACAACAAAGATGTTACATGAGCAATCTAGGGACTCCCATTACTGTGTGGGCTGTTGTATTCTGGATCAGTTGAAGTTTCTGGGGGACTCAGGGTAGTAATCCAAACAGGAGGTGACCAAGGAATGAGTGACCCATGTGCAAGGCCTCCCGGTCCAGGAAAGGTAACGATGCACCAGATGAATCTGCAAAACCACTTCTCAGCCATGGCCTCCTCATGCAGGAGGTGTGAGTGCAGGAGGACCCCCAGTTTGTTCATCAGCTCAAGTCACAAAAGGCAATCTCATGACCCCAGGACACTGCATTTTCTCTTTTCCCATTTCCACAACATTTCTAGCCCCCCCACCCATCCCCAAAGGGCGCTTTCCTTTGATTAAGTTGCCGCTTCTGGCAAAAGAAGCTTCAGGCTCAGCTCCAGGGACAATGGATGCCTTCTTGGCGGACCTGAAAGAAAAGGTTTTGGGATGGAGCCTCAGGGAGAAAATCTATCGATGAGCTCGATGGGAATCAAATAGGAATTGATGGTATTTAAGGAAGCACTGAATCAATGCTTGCTCTTCTGCGTTATGTCGCTAGAGGGCGCGCTACAGGAAAGCAACCCTGGCGCGTAAAATGCAGGTAAGTGTGCAAGGGCGACAGAGCTATTCTAGGAAAGTCAGAGAGGCTGGGCTGCAGCGAGTTGAAACGGTAGGACTATTGAATTCCTAGAGAGGATGTGGAGGAGAGGAGGCGAAGGGCAGAGGAAGTTCCTCTTCCGGCTCACCCGCGGGAGGAGGAGAGTGTCGGCGGACCGTCTTGTGCTGTTTCGACAGTCGAAGCGGCTCCTGGGAGGTGAGTGGAGGGCACTTAACGAAGCACGGAATGAATGAGAACATCTTCAAACGCCTTAGGGAAGAACTAGCGTGTTCTTCCTCTTTATGTCGCTAGATGGCGAAACAACACTCGATACAGCGGCGGCTGAGCTATTCTACGGAAGGGGGAGAGGCTGAGATGGAATGGGTTGAAATGATAGAGTAGTAGATTCCTAGACAGGAAGTGGAGATGAGTAGGGCAGAGGAGCTTCCGGGTCACCGACGGGAGAATAATGGCGTCGGCGGAGCCTCTTGAGCTACTTGGAGGGTGGAAGCGGATCCTGGGAGGTGAGTGGAGGGAAGGTCGGAGGAGAAGCCGGGAGGAAGTCGGGCCCTTTGGGTTCCTCCACTGAAGCTGGGGAAGCTTCAGATTTAAAACTGCTGCCTGTGATTTTCTGGACTAGAAGACCTCCAAGGTCCCTTTCAACTCTACTCTGATTGATTGACTGATTGATTGAAAAAGAGAATTTTATAATGGTGTCGATATTTGAACTTGGATCTTGTTAGGCTTCTCTATGCCAAATCAATCATAATTAATATTAGAGATTAAAATAGAATTTTAGTGTTTGTTTTTTCATGCTAATATATGAGATGGGGATTTATTTATTTTTTTGCTGCTTTCACATGTGCTGCAGCCATTTTTAAACAATAATGAAACTAACCCATTTATATTCTTACAGAGAGAGAGAGGATGCGAAAAAGAGCACTCTGGACAACAGAGAATGAGAAGCAGCATTAAAGTGTAAAATAAGCCATCATTCAAAATATTTTCCAATTCACCTGGAAATCTTCCTCAGCAGATGAGAGAAGAAGGAAAGAATAACAAGAACAAAGTTTTGAGCTGGAAAAAAATAGAGCACACGGAACTGAAAAAAACATTAAATGAAAAATCAGGGAGGATAATATTTAAATAAATAAAAAAATGAGGAACAACGTGAACTCAGTAGAAAGAAAAAGGTTCAATGTATAGCCAAAATTGGCAGCCATTAATGAAAGCCTTTCAGGAAGGAAAGAGTGGCTTGAACCAAACAATCACCAGGCAAGAGGTCAGAAATATTTTTCACCACCTCAGGAATCGAAGCATATCAGTGTTGAAAAAACCCCAGAGACTGCGTCATGTGGGAAAAACACAGATTGCAGATCGCATCTGATTCTGCACAACAGCATGCATCCAGTGAAAAGCCATACAAATGTTTGGAGTGCGGCAAAAGCTTTTCTCAGAAAAGCTTCCTCATGATTCATAGAAGGACCCATACTGGAGAGAAGCTCTACCAGTGCTCCCAATGTGACAAAAGATTTAGCATTCATTCCAATCTGCTGAGACACAAGAGGACTCACACTGAGGAGAAACTATTTGAATGTCTTGTTTGTGGGCAAAGTTTCAGTCTGAAGTGCAACCTGGTGATACACCAGAGAATTCACACAGGAGAAACACCGTATCAGTGCCTGGATTGTGGGAAACGTTTCAGTCAGAATTCCTGCCTAGTGAAACACCAGAGGAATCACACAGGAGAAAAACCGTATGAGTGCCCGGATTGTGGGAAAACATTCCGTTGGAATTCCAACCTGGTGGAACACCACAGGACACACACAGGAGAGAAACCGTATAAATGTAGCAAGTGTGGGAAAAGTTTCAAGCAGAGTTCTAAGCTTGTAATACACCAGAGAAGTCACACAGGAGTAAAACCATTTCAATGTCTGGATTGTGGGAAAAGTTTCAGTCAAAGTTCCCATCTTGTTGGACACCAGATGACACACACAGGAGAGAAACTGTATAAATGTCCTGTTTGTGGGAAAAGTTTCATTCGGAATTCCCACCTGGTGATACACCAGAGAACTCACACAGGAGAAAAACCATATGAGTGCCTGGATTGTGGGAAACATTTCAGTCAGAGTTCCTGCCTAGTGAAACACCAGAGGACTCACACTGGGGAGAAACTCTTTGAATGTCTGGTTTGTGGGGAAAGTTTCAGTCAAAATTCCCACCTGGTGGAACATCAGACGACACACTCGGGAGAGAAACCGTATAAATGTTCTGTTTGTGGGAAATGTTTCAGTCAGAGTTCCTACCTAGTGAAACACCAGAGAACTCACACAGGAGAAAAACCATATCAGTGTCTGGATTGTGGGAAACGTTTCATTCAGAGTTCCTGCTTAGTGAAACACCAGTTGACTCACACAGGAGAAAAACCGTATGAGTGCCTGGATTGTGGGAAAAGATTCCGTTGGAATTCCAACCTGGTGGAACACTACAGGACACACACAGGAGAGAAACCGTATAAATGTAGTGAGTGTGGAAAAGGTTTCAAGCAGAGTTCTAAGCTTGTGATACACCAGAGAACTCACACAGGAATAAAACCATTTCAGTGTCTAGATTGCGGGAAAAGTTTCAGTCAGAATTCCAATCTGATGATACACCAGAGAACTCACACTGGAGAAAAACCGTATCAGTGTCTGGATTGTGGGAAAAGTTTCCAGCAGAATTCAAAGCTTGTGATACACCAGAGGACTCACACGGGAGAGAAACCATATGAGTGCCTAGATTGTGGGAAAAGGTTCAGTCAGAATTCGAACCTGGTGATACACCGAAGGACTCACACTGGAGAGAAACCGTATAAGTGTCCAGATTGTGGGAGAGGTTTCAATTGGAATTCCGAGTTGAAAGTACACCAGAGCAGGGGTCACCTATTTTTTGGACCTCAAGGACCACTAAATTGATAATTTTAAATCCCATGGACCACTAATATGAATCCAACGCACTGCTCGCTGAAGTGCCTGGACTCCCAGTGATGGGAGGGGTCCTTCAGGCACTTAGCTTGTCTGCCTGTTTCTGCAACTATAAACACTCAAAATAGTCATTTGACCCATTTACCAAAGAAAACAAAACAGGAGCCACAAAATCTGGCTGGGCATGGCCAGCTCGATTCCCACCCTGTTAGATGACACCCCCCCTCCCCCAGCCATGCCTATCCAGGTTTTGTGGGTCCTGATGTTTTCTTTTCTAATGGAAATAGGTGTCTCTCTCTCTCTCTCATCTCTCTTTGTCTGTCTCTCTCTCTCTATGTTTCACTCTCTTTGTCTCTCTCTCTCTGTGTCTCTCATTCTGATTCTCCAGCGCTCTCTCGGTCTTGCAGGTGCTTCTTCGACCTTTGTTGGTGCTGGAAGCATCTCAGTCGCTTGGGGAGATGCATGACCTGCACTCCGCCCTTAGACGCTTGCCCGACCTGGCTGCGTCTGATGCTCCGTGTCGTAGTGGGCTCCAGGAGGAGGCAGGGTCACCATCTCCCCCATTCTGAAGCGCGCTACATTTAACTGTGCTGCTCAAGGTGCTGCAAGAGCAGTGGGCAGGCCATGGAGGTGCCAACAGCAGTGAAAGAAATGGCCTCGCTGGGCCAGTGTCTCGGGGCAGAGATGAAGCCACGTGTCTCCCCAAGCGACCAAGTGTTTGCAGCACCAAAAAGGGCCGGAAGGAGCACCTGCAAGACCCAGGAAGAGATGAAGCAACTACAGGGGTGCTTTGCTGCCGCTCTGGAATATTGAGCGAGTCTCCATTCACCGCCGTCACCCTTACCTTCTCAGGCCAGGCAAAGAGTGACTGGGAAGGAAGAGCGAGGGGCAGGACCAGCAACGGGTGGGTTCAGCCAACAGGGGGCTACAGTAGGAGGATGAAAAAGCTACGGGTTGCTTTGGCCTGCCTGTGCCACCGCCTCTCCCTTGCCGTAACAGCACCTTTATCTCATTCCAGCTGGCTAGGGCTGCACTACTCCTTTCATGTTCCACCACCTGCAAAGTTGCAAGTTGCATGTACCACCCTCTACGGCAGAGATTTCAAGCCCCACCACGATCTGCCTGGCCAGTCCCATATTCCAGAGCTTTAGTCACAGGACTGGCCCATTGGTCATCCTGGAGCAGCTCCTCCACCAAGGTGCGCTGCGGACCACCAAAATTTTCTCGCGGACCACCAGTTGGTAACCTCTGCACTAGAGGACACAAAGGAAAAAAAATCATGAGTGTCCAGATTGTGGGAAAAATTTTAGTCGGAATCCCAGCCTGGTAGAACACCAGAGGAGTCACACAGCTGAGAGCCGATATGAGTGCCTGGATTGTGGGAAGACTTCTCAGCAGAATTCCAAACTGGTGATACACCAGGGGACTCACACACCAGAGAAACCATATGAGTCTTTCCCCCCCCCCCCAAGTTTTTTATTTTTTACAAACATATCAATGTGTGAACAGTGTGGTACCTGGGTATCATATATTTCATACAAGAAAATTAGTATTAGTCATATTTATTTCATTTAACAAGCTTATATAATACTGGTAATAATGCACATCTTTATATTAAATTATAATCTTTCATTGTTTAGTTATTCAATATTTCAATATGTTATTTTTATACCAATCACCCTATCTTAATTATCATAGCTTTTAATATGAATAAAATATCAATCATATTTGTTACATTTAACAAACATATATATTTCTAATAATACCCTCATTTATATAAATTAAGATCTTTAATTATTTGCTTATTCTACTTATAAACCTTCATTTTTTAATTATTCAAAATTTCAATGTTTTTATATCATCTGCATATGTTTTAATACTAATAAAATATTGTTAATCATATTTATTACATTTAACAAACCTACCCACATTTGTATTGAATTATAATTTAATAACACCATCCTTCAAGTTTTAATTTCCCCTCTTATTATTGCTTCTCCTTGTTACATAAAAATATGTTTTTTATTAATCCCCTTTCTCTAAATCCCATCCCTCTAATTTTCTTTTCTTTTTATTTTGTTTTGTTATGCCACTACTATATTAAACATATTCCCTTTTCTAACCATCATCTCTTATCCGCCTTAAAGCTTTGGTTGTTCTTTTCTTGTCTCCCATATTCCTCTATTGGATCTTTATTTCTATCTGTTTCCACATCTTGCCTTCTCATTTTAAATTTTCCTCCCTTTTCTATCCTAATCCATCGTCTAGTTTTCAAAACACCTACTCTTACCCCTCTCTCCCATAAAAATCTTCCTGTTTTATCAGTTTCTTTTTTAATTTCCTTAGAGTACTCTCCCCTTGGCTTATGTCATTGCTTTTATTATTATCTCTTCTTTTTTTCTTATTGCATTTGTTTTGTCTGTCACCTTTTTCCATCTCCTCTTTCAGTTGGCTCCTCCTCTTCCTGGGCATCTTGAGCACTCACTGTCTCTTGTATTATAGTTCCCAGCATTTCATTTATACTCTCCATTTTTCCATAATTTTCTTTGTAATTGACATAATTACAAAGTCTCCTTTGTACTGTACTTTGAATTGCCGATGCCACCTCTTCCCAAATTCCATTCCATTCTTCTTGCTGAAGCATCTCGTTGAATTTTATTGAACCCTTTTTTGTCCAATAATCCAAAAACCATATGTTCACACCTACAAACACTTCTCAAAAGGCTCAGTGTTCTTATTTCTTTATATCCCAAGATTAATTTGCCTGCTCATCTGGAGAGCCCCTTAAATCTTCCAGCCCCTCCTTAAATCCCTCTATAAATCCACTTTTATATTGTAATCTTCAGGGGCAATATTTTTCTTTCATATCACATTTAAATCTCCAGTAAACATGAAATTTTGGGAAGGTGTTTTTCTTCCTTTTGTCAGCAGGTGGTACTCTAATTAAATTTCAATATTAAGCTGTTTTTCCAATTTTCCACAATGTAAAGTCAATGTCAATTTTTGAGATTGTGATCTCTCCTCTGACCTCACAGAGTGCCCCTCCTCAGCTTCACTGCCCATACAGGGCGGCTTTTGCTCCTTTTGGAGCCCACAAACAGGAGAAAACCAGCACAGGAACGGAGGTGACCGTTCTCTGTGACGAGTTGCTTGGAGGCTCCACCACACTCTCCCATGTGACTGTCTTAAATGTGGGGAAAGTTTCCATCAGAATTCCCTTTTGAATTCCCTTTTAACTCAAATGTGAGTTAAATGCCAAGTGTCCCTATTTTGATTATGTAACCACGGGGATGCTGCAATGGTGGTAAATGTGAAAAACGGTCATAAGTCACCTTTTCAATGCTGTTCTAACTTCAAATGGTCACTAAATAAAACGTTATGTCCAAGACTACCTGTACATAATTGGGTATCACTATGGATGGCTTCTCCTAGCGGTTTCAGGTAGATGTTAACAAGCAAACAGCGAAAGGCTTGAGCCCTGAGGCACCCCAAATTGCAGGGGTGAAGATTTGGCCCTTCTACCCACACAGACCGCAACCAGGCATAGAGGTAGAAGTAGAATGGCCATAATAAAGCTCCTCCCATTTCCTGTCTCCAAAGCCTCTCCAGGAGGATATGGTCATTGTTATTGAAACCTGATGGGAGGTCTGGGAGAGATATGATGTCTGTATCCCTTCTATCTCAAACCCTCCAACAGTCCATGAGAATTGTAACCAATGCTGTTTTGGTGATGTGCCCTGGCCTGAACTCAGACTCAGAAGTTCCCAGGTGCCTTTCCTCCTGCACAGCCTTTTCTCCGGGTGGCAAAGTCAGAGCTGGAAGCAGAGGGTGAGTTGAAGTCCTAGGCTGCCAAACTTTCATTGCCCTCTTCAGCTGCATTTATAAGAGATCTTAATCTGCAGCAATGCCTTGAACTGCCCTGCCAGGAAAACCTCCCATGATTTTCTTATGCGTTACAAATTGCTTGTTGAAGGCATAAAGCCGGCCAGGATGCTAACTGTTCGGAAGGGAGGGGAATGACTCTCCCAGCCCTCTCTTGAGCTTGGAAAAGGAACATGGGTGGTTCTCAGATTGCAACACCAACTGGCCCTGGAATATCCATTGCTAAGCAAAGATGGGGCACCAATAAGAAATATCAGGCTTGATAACTAAATTGGGAAGTAAGAGAAAATAAAATCTCAGAAGAGACAAGTTTTCAAGAATTATCCTGCACACTCCCCACCAACACCCCCTCCAGAGGAAAAAGTGGCTGGAACCAAGGGAGGTGCACTTTCTCTTTTCCCATTTTGCATGACCCAAAAGGACGCTTTGCTTTGCTTTAGTTGCCGCTTCTCGCAAAAGAAGCTTCGGGCGCAGCTCCAGGGACAATGGATGCCCTCTTGGGGGAACTGAAAGAAAAGGTTAAAAAGAAAAGTCTAGATGACCTATAAGGTCCCTTCCAACTCTGTTAATCTGTTACCAAGTTAAAACAGTACTGAAAAAAAGTTAAACTTCTCTACCACTTTATATAAAGGTTTGGGATGGAGCCTCAGGGAGATGAGCTCGATGGGAGTCAAATAGGACTTGATGGCACTTAAGGAAGCACGGAATCAATGCTTGTTCGTCCACCTTATGTCGCTAGATGGCGCGCTACAGAGAAACAACACTCGGTACCGCGGCCACTGATTTCTTCTAGCGAAGAGGGAGAGGCTGAGATTGAACGGGTAGAAACATTAGAGTACTGGATTGCTAGAGCGGATGTAGAGAGAGACGAGGAGGCGAAGGGCAGAGGAATTTCCGGTTGACCTACGGGAGGATAATGGCGTCGGCGGAGATTCTTGTGCTGCTTGGAGGGTGGAAGAGGTGAATGGAGGGAAGGTGGGAGGAGAAGCCGGGAGCATGTCGGGCCGTTTCGCTTCCTCCACGGAGTATGAAGCAGAGGAAGCAAAGAGGGTGAATCCTATTGGCTGCTGCTGCATATTCTTTCCATTCCTAAATTTTATTCCTCTGCGGCTGCACGATTTAAAACCGCTGCCTGTGATTTTCTGCTGGGAGATTTAAAAATAATATTTATTTTTTTTATATATATATATATATATCGAATTTATATTTCGCTTAAACACTTAATCTCTCTCCCCTGGCTCAAGATGATGAAGGGAGGAGAACTTGTGGCTCAGAAGGTTAATACAACTGCCCAACATGCAGGCAGCCCAAGTTCGAATCCATGTAAGGGTATGGCTAGCTGATGAGAGCTAAATAGCTTGAAATAGATCTATACTAGTCTCCCTTTATTGTTTTAACAGCGAAATATAAATTTGGTATAAAATGGTTTCTCCTGAATGCGACTGCTTGAGGGCTCCTGGATTGGAGCTGAAAGGCAAAAGGGATGCAGTATGCTCCCTCCCACATGCTGGGGTAGACCAGCTGTCTCGATAGAAAAACACTTAATTTCATATTTCTTAAACTCCCATCTTAAGTATCAGCTTTCACGTTGATTTCTTCTCATTTTAATGGCATGTGGTTTTCCTGGAAAGTGAGGAGCTTCATGGGCAAAAAAGAGGCTTTAGATCTTGAATAGGAATTAGGAGACACTAATTTCATCTATTAGTGTCGTTCCCCCCCCTTTCTAAACACAGAGTAAACAATTTGAGTGAATGCACTTTGGGACATTTTGGACACCGAGATACGCATACATTGTCTACATACATTCATAGATGTGTATTTCTGTGCTCATATGCCTGTATACATGAGTTTATTTACCCAAGCCAAAAATTTAAGTGTAATATTATACCATACATCTGCCTGAGGAGGGAGCTGGACTAGAAAACCTTCAAGGTCCCTTTCAACTCTATTCTGATTGACTGATTTATTGAAAAAATAGAATTTTATGATGGCGTCAATATTTGAACTTGGATCCTGTTAGGCTTCTGTATACCAAATTAATCATAATTAATATTAGAGGTTAAAATAGAATTTTAGTGTTTGTTTCTTCATGCCAATATATGGGATGGAGATTTTTTTTTGCTGTTTTCACATGTGCTGCAGCCATTTTTAAACAATAATGAAACTAACCCATTTATATTAATCTTACAGAGAGTGAGGATGCCAAGAAGAGCACTCTGGACAACAGAGAATGAGAAGCAGCATTAATGTGCAAAATAAGCCATCATTCAAAATATTTTCCAATTCCTCTGGAAAGTTTAAAAACTCTTCTTCCTCAGCAGATGAGAGACGAAGGAAAGACTAACAAGAGCAACATTTTGAGCTGGAAAAAAATAGAGCACACGGAACTGAAAAAAAAAAAAGAGAAATCAAGGAGGATTATATTTAAATAAATAAAAAAGAAAGGAACAACTTGAAGTCAGAAGAAAAAGATTCAATGTAGAGGCAAAATTGGAAGCCATTAATTAAAGCTTTTGAAGAAGGAAAGAGTGGCTTGAACCAAACAACCAGCAGGCAAGAGATCAGAAATATTTTTCACCGCCTCAGGAATCCAAGTATATCAGTATTGGAAAACCCCCACAGACTGCTTAATGTGGGAAAAACCCAGATTGCAGTTCACATCTGATTCTGCACAGCAGGATCTTTGTGGGAAAAGTTTCAGTCAAAATTCCCACCTGGTGGAACACCAAATGACACACATAGGAGACAAACCGTACAAATGTCCTCTTTGTGGAAAAAGTTTCAGTCTGAATTCCAACCTGGTGATACACCAGAGAACTCACACAGGAGAAACATCGTACGAGTACTTGGATTGTGGGAAAAGTTTCATTCAGAGTTCCGACCTAGTGAAGCACCAGAGGACTCACAAAGGAGAAAAACCATATGAGTGCCTGGATTGTGGGAAAAGTTTCCGTTGGAATTCCCAATTGGTGGAACACCACAGGACACATACAGGAGAGAAGCCGTATCAGTGCCTGGATTGTGGTAAATGTTTCAGTCAGAGTTCCTGCCTACTGAAACACCAGAGAAATCACACTGGGGAGAAACTCTTTGAATGTCCTGTTTGTGGGGAAAGTTTCAGTCAAAATTACAGCCTGGTGGAACATCAGACGATACATACAGGGGAGAAACCTTATAAATGTTCTGTTTGTGGGAAATGTTTCAGTCAGAGTTCCTACCTAGTGAAACACCAGAGAACTCACACAGGAGAAAAACCTTATCAGTGCCTGGATTGTGGGAAACGTTTCATTCAGAGTTCCTCCTTAGTGAAACACAAGTGGACTCACACAGGAGAAAAACCGTATGAGTGCCTGGATTGTGGGAAAAGATTCCGTTGGAATTCCAATCTGGTGGAACATCACAGGACACACACAGGAGAGAAACCGTATAAATGTAGTGAGTGTGGAAAAGGTTTCAAGCAGAGTTCTAAGCTTGTGATACACCAGAGAACTCACACAGGAATAAAACCATTTCAATGTCCGGATTGTGGAAAAAGTTTCAGTCAGAATTCCAATCTGATGATACACCAGAGAACTCACACTGGAGAAAAACCGTATCAGTGTTTGGATTGTGGGAAAAGTTTCCAGCAGAATTCGAAGCTAGTGATACACCAGAGGATTCACACAGGAGAGAAACCATATAAGTGTCCAGATTGTGGGAAAGGTTTCAATTGGAATTCCAAGTTGGAAGTACACCGGAAGACCCACACTGGAGAAAAACCATATGAGTGCCTGGATTGTGGGAAAAGTTTCCAGCAGAATTCTAAGCTGGTGATACACCAGATGACTCACACGGGAGAGACACCGTATGAGTGTCCAGATTGTAGGAAAAGGTTTAGTCATAATTCGGATCTGGTGATACACCAGAGGACTCACACTGGAGAAAAACCATATGAGTGCCCGGATTGTGGGAAAAGTTTCCAGCAGAATTCTAAGCTTGTGATACACCAGAGGGCTCACACTGGAGAGAAACCGTATGAGTGTCCAGATTGTGGGAAAGATTTCAGTATCAGGTCCAGCCTTATAAATCATATAAGGGTACACACAGGGGAGAAACCATATGAGTGTCCAGTTTGTGGGAAAGATTTCAATATCAAGTCTACCCTTATAAATCATGTAAGGTTACACACAGGGGAGAAACCATATGAGTGTCCAGATTGTGGGAAAGATTTCAGTATCAGGTCTAGCCTTATCAATCATGTAAGGTTACACACAGGAGAGAAACCATTCAAGTGTCCAGATTGTGGGAAAGATTTCAGTAGTAGGTCTAGCCTCATAAATCATGTAAGGTTACACACAGGGGAGAAACCATTCGAATGTCCAGATTGTGGGAGAGATTTCAGTAGTAAGTCTAGCCTCATAAATCATGTAAAGTTACACACAGGGGAGAAACCATTCAAGTGCCCAGACTGTGGAAAAGGTTTCAGTACTAGGTCTAGCCTTACAAATCACGTAAGGTTGCACACGGGCGAGAAACCATTCAAGTGTCCAGATTGTGGGAAGTGTTTCACACAAAATTCCTCTCTTATGAGACACAAGAAATTCCATATGAAGCAAAATTTGATGCCTGTAGAGGAATCTTGAATTTCATTTCTCTTCTCTCTTTGAAAGCCGAGTTGAGAAATTAACCATTTAATTTCTTGCCTTATTCTTTTTAGTCTAAATGTCTTGGTATCAAACACGAAGGAGGAGATCTGAGCTTTCTTACCTGGTAAGACACCAGAGGACTCACAATGGAACAAAACTTTATGAATGTCCCGATTGTAGGAAAGTTCACATCACTTTTTAAGGCAAACTCTTCCATTGGTTGATTGTTCTGACTGTCTTAAAGTTCTTATTTGTACTTTGAATCTTTCCTTGATCAGTGTGCACCAGGGTGGATTTGATTTAAATCAGTTCGATTTAAACCACGATTTAAATCAAGTTGATTTAAACCACGATTTAAATCACTAGTAAGGTTGTGCAGCTGTCATCTCTGTCCCGCAGCAACTACTCCTCTGACCAGTTGTTGACTCACCGACAATCCCAATATTGTAGAATATACAGCCTCATGCTACATAACTAAGCTTCATTTTATGGTGAATAAACTAAATTATGAATGTATCTTAAATAGAAAACTATCTTTAGATATATTTTTACTCCAAAACCATTTTATTGAAATAAATTTGATAAAAAGAAAACAATCTGATTTTGATTTTGATTTTTTAAATCAATTTTTATCCAATCTAGGGACTCCCATTACCGTTGCGTTCTGGACCAGTTGAAATTTCTGGGGGACCCAGGGTAGTAATCCAAATGGAGGTGATCAAGGAATGAGTGACCCACTGTACAGTCCAGGAAAGGGAACAATTGGTGCACTGGATGAATCTGTGCAAAGCCTCTTCCCAGCCATGGCCTCCTCAAGCAGGAGGCATGAATGCAGGAGGACCCCCAGTTTGTGTGAGGTCTAGGAGGGACATAATAACTGTACCCCTTCTATCTCAAACCCTCCAACAGTCCATGAGAATTGTAAACAATGCTGTTTAGGTGATATGACCCGGCCTGAACTCAGACTGAGAAGGGCCCAGTGTATCGAAATGCACAGCCCTTTCTCCAGGTGGCAAAGTCAGAGCTGCAAGTAGAGGGTGAATTGGAGTCCCAGGCTTCCAACCTTTCATTGCCCTCTTCAGCTGTAAATATAAGTTATCTTAATATGCAGCAATGCTTTGAAATGCCCTGCCAGGAAAACCTCTCATGATCTTCTTATGCATTGCAAACTGCAGTTGAAGGCATAAAATGCCAGGATGCTAAGGGTTCAGAGAGGAGGTTCACTTTCTCTTTTCCCATTTGCAGGTCATTTCTAGCACACACACACACACAAAAGGATGCTTTCCTTTGGTTTAGTTGCTGCTTCTGGCAAAGGAAGCTTCGGGCTCAGCTCCAGGGACAAGGAGTGCCCTCGAGGGGACCTGAAAGAAAAGGTTTTGGATGGAGCCTCAGGGAGAAAAGCTATCGGTGTGAGAGTCAAATAGGATTTAATGGCACATAAGGAACCACGGAATCAATGAGAACATCTTCAAGCGCCTTAGGGTAGAACAAGCATGTCCTTCCGCCTTAAATCGCTAGATGGCGCGCTACTGGGAAACAAAGCTCAGTACAGCGGGGACCGAGCTTTTCTAGGGAAGGTGAAGAGGCTGAGATTGAAAAGGTTGAAACATTAGAGTAGCGGATTGCTAGAGCGGATGGAGAGAGAGAGAGAGAGAGAGAGAGAGAGAGACGAGGAGGCGAAGTCAGAGGAACTTCCTCTTCCGGCTCAGGCAAGGGAGGAAGATGGCGTCGGCGGAGCCTCTTGTGCCGCTTGGAGGGTGGAAGCGGCTCCTGGGAGGTGAGTGGAGGGAAGGTCGGAGGAGAAACCGGGAGCAAGTCGGGCCCTTTGGGCGCCTCCGCGGAGTATGAAGCAGAGGAAGCAACGAGGGTGAATCGTGTTGGCTGCTGCTGCATATTTTTCCCCTTCCCAAATTTTATTCCTCTGGGGCTGCTTGATTTAAAACTGCTGCCTGTGATTTTAACAATGGGAGATTTAAACATAATATTTATTTTTTATATATATTTATTTCATACTTCTTAAGCATCAGCTTTCACGTACCTGTTGATTTCTTCTGATTTTATTGGCATGTGGTTTTCCTGGAAAGCGAGGAGCTTCATGGGCAAAACGGAGGCTTTAGATCTTTAATAGGAGTTGGGCTCCATTTCATCTATTAGTCTCCCCTCCTCCCCCCGTTTTTTTTTTTAACCTAAGATGAAACAATTTGAGCGAATGGACATTTTGCATACATTGTCTATACATTCATAGATGTGTATTTCTGTGCTCATATGCCTGTATACATGACTTTATTTACCCAAGCCAAAAATTTAAGTGTAATATTATACCATACATCTGCCTGAGGAGGGAGCTGGACTAGAAAACCTCCAAGGTCCCTTTCAACTCTATTCTGATTGAGTGATTCATTGAAAAATAGAATTTTATGATGGCATCGATATTTGAACTTGGATCTTCTTAGGTTTCTGTATGCCAAATCAATCATAATTAATATTAGAGGTTAAAAACAGAATTTTATTGTTTTTTCATGCTAATATATGGGATGGGTGTTGTTGTTGTTGTTGTTGTTGTTTTGCTGCTTTTACATGTGCTGCAGCTATTTTTAAACAATAATGAAAGTAACCCATTTATATTAATCTTACAGAGAGTGAGGATGCCAAGAAGAGCACTCTGGACAACAGAGAATGAGAAGCAGCATTAAAGTGCAGAATAAGCCATCATTCAAAATATTTTCCAATCCCTCTGGAAAGTTTGAAAACTCTTCTTCCTCAGCAGATGAAAGACAGGGGAAAGAATAAGAAGAACAACGTTTTGAACTGGAAAAAATAGAGCACATGGAACTGAAAAAAAAAACATTAAATGAGAAATCAAGGAGGGTTATATTTAAATAAAAAGTGAACAACTTAAAGTCAGTAGGAAGAAAAGGTTCAATGTAAAGCCAAAATTGGCAGCCATTAATTAAAGCTTTTGAGGAAGGAAAGAGTGACTTGAACCAAACAACCAGCAGGCAAGAGATCAGAAATATTTTTCACTGCCTCAGGAATCCAAGCATATCAGTGTTGGAAAACCCCCGCAGACTGCATAATGTGGGAAAAACCCAGATTGCAGATCACATCTGATTCTGCACAACAGGATCTTTGTGGGAAAAGTTTCAGTCAAAATTCCCACCTGATGGAACACCAGATGACACACATAGGAGACAAACCGTACAAATGTCCTGTTTGTGGGAAAGGTTTCAGTCTGAATTCCGACCTAGTGAAACACCAGAGGACTCACACGGGAGAAAAACCTTATCAGTGCCTGACTTGTGGGAAAAGTTTCCGTTGGAATTCCCAGCTGGTAGAACACCACAGGACACACACAGAAGAGAAGCCGTATAAATGTAATGAATGTGGAAAAGATTTCAAGCAGAGTTCTAAGCTTGTGATACACCAGAGAACTCACACAGGAGTAAAACCATTTCAGTGTCCGGATTGTGGAAAAAGTTTTAGTCGGAATTCCAACCTGATGATACATCAGAAAACTCACACTGGAGAAAAACCGTATCAGTGTCTGGATTGTGGGAAAAACTTCCAGCAGAATTCTAAGCTTGTGATACACCAGAGGACTCACACTGGAGAAAAACCATATGAGTGTCCAGATTGTGGGAAAGGTTTCAACTGGAATTCCGAGTTGGAAGTACACCAGAGGACTCATACTGGGGAAAAACCATATGAGTGTCCAGATTGTGGGAAAGGTTTCAATTGGATTTCTTGGTTGGAAGTGCACCAGAGGACTCACACTGGAGAAAAACCATATGAGTGTTTGGAGTGTGGGAAAAGGTTTAGTCATAATTCGAACCTGGTGATACACTGGAGGACTCATACTGGAGAAAGACCATATGAGTGCCCTGATTGTGGGAAAAGTTTCCAGCAGAATTCTAAGCTTGTGATACACCAGAGGACTCACACAGGAGAGAAACCATATAAGTGTCCAGATTGTGGGAAAGGTTTCAGTTGCAATTCTGACCTGGTGGTACACCAGAAGATTCACACAGGAGAAAAACCGTATGAGTGTTTGGAGTGTGGGAAAAGTTTCATTCAAAATTCCCACCTTGTGGAACACCGCAAGACTCACACAGGAGAAAAACCATATAAGTGTCCAATTTGTGGGAAAGGTTTCTATCGGAATTCTCACATGATAGTACACCAGAGGTCTCATACGGGAGAGAAACCATTTGAGTGTCTATTTTGTGGGAAAGGTTTCATTCAGAATTCCTATCTGGTTAAACACCAGAGAATTCACACAGGAGAAAAACCATATGAGTGTCCGGAATGTGAGAAAAAGTTCAGTCGGAATTCTGACTTGATGATACACTGGCGGACTCACACAGGGGAGAAACCGTATGAGTGTCCAGATTGTGGGAAAGCTTTCAGTGTCAGGTCTAGCCTTATAAATCATGTAAGGTTACACACAGGGGAGAAACCATTCAAGTGTCCAGATTGTGGGAAGTGTTTCACACAAAATTCCTCTCTCATCGCACACAAGAAATTCCATATGAAGCAAAATTTGATGTGTGTAGAGGAATCTTGAATTTGGTTTCTCTTCTCTCTTTGGAAGCCCAGTTGATAAATTAACCATTTAATTTCTTGTTTTATTCTTTTTAGTCAAACATGTCTCAGTATCAAACATGAGGGAGGAAATCTGAGTTACCTTTCTCTGGAGTTGTGTGGGTGTTCCTTTTCACAGCATTGAGGGGAATTGCCATGCTGGGGCACAGAAAAGGCTCTTAGATCTTATTAGGTACATTTGCCATCTTGAGTTATTTCTAAGACAGCAGTGAGTCAGAAGAAGAGTTAGAGCCTGTTCCTAGTGTGCACATGCGCAGAGCTGCTAGAGAGAAGAACTAAGAAAGCAGGGTCGACTTGAGAGTAAAGCATACCTGGGAGGTTATTGGCGCCTCCCATAGGAAACAAAAGAGGAGCGAATGGGGAGGGGGCTTTTGCAGGAAAGAATTCGGTCGGTCGTTGGAAAAGTGGAAAGTTCTGTTCGTGACTCTAAGGGGCTCTGTGCCACATTTTGCCTTTCCTGCGGTTGGAAATTAGTTATCTGGCAGCTTTCCAATTGAGATCAGGCGTGTTGATAGATATGCCTCTGAAAGACTGTATGCAAAGCCGTGCTGATTGTGAATGAATGTAATTCACAGTCGTGTAAATAAAAGGGGTTTTACCGGGACTAAGACTCTGCTTCTTGCTGTTTAAGGAAGCCTAGGTCAGAACAATGGCAGCCCAACCCAATCTAACTCCAGATGACTTACAGCAATAAAACCTTAGTACAGAAACCAATAAACCACATATATAGCAAATAGCAAAATACAAAGCCTCCACATTTGGCATACTCCCACACCATTCCATTCCCCACCATCCAGTCAAAGCTGAAGAATCTTCTTGAATGAGAAGCTCCAAAGAAGAAACAGTCCAGTTGCCTCTTGAAAAAGCACTTTGGAACAACCATGACTTGGATGCATGAGAATCTCCATAGACTTTTAACTATCTTTCCATCTTTCTCTATTCTGAACCTCTACATTTCTCTAATCCTAACCTCCATATGTACCTAGTGCTATACTCCCTCCCTCTCTCTCTCCCCATCCTCTAGTTAGTAGCTGTCTCCATCCATTTCCTACTATTTGTCTTATCTTTCCTCTCTATCTGCTCCAGCAATAGCAATCATACTTAGACTTATATAATGCTTCACAGTGTTTACAGCCCTTTCTAAGCAGTTTACAGAGTTAGCCTATTGCCCCCAACACTTTGGGTCCTCATTTTACTCACCTCGGATGGATGGAAGGCTGAGTCAACCTTGAGCCTGGTGAAATACCAGAGAATTTCCCTGTTCTTCTACACAGATGTGAACAATGTGGAAGGGAAATGTTGGCTTGGATTTCTCTGAGGAATGGACTTCAGGCCAGGATCCATTTTAAAGAAGGGGTTTCTTCTGGTTAGCTGAGGGAACACAATTCCTAAACAGGAATGTGTATAAGAATTATTTGATAGAAAAAAGGAGGGAAGTCATAACCAGGGTGGATTTGATTTAAATCGAGTTGATTTAAATCACAATTTAAATCATGATTTAAATCACTAGTAAAAAGTCTTGATTTAAATCAACTCGATTTAAATCATAATTTTTAAAGAGCAGCTGTCATCTCTGCTACTCCTTTGACCCACTGTTGACTCACCGATAGTCCCAGTGTTGCAGAATATGCTGAATAAACTAAATTATTTATGTATCTTAAATAGAAAACTATCATACGATATTTTTACTCCAAAAGATTTTTATTAAAATAAATTTGATAAAAATAAAAAAAAATCCGATTTAAATCAAAAAAATCTGATTTTTTTTTTTAAATCATTGATTTTTATCCACCCTGGTCATAACTGTGAGGTATTTTTCCCAATTTCTTGTTTATTGCTTAAATCCTATTGTTTTTGTGTGTTTTGAATATTAAATTTCTAATTTAAAAAATACGTGTCAAGCAGAAACATTTTTGTGTGTTCGTGCTTCCTGCCATTCTTTTTACAATGCTTTCAAACGTGTCTTTAAAAAGTGTATTAGTTTTGTTTAGCAAATACAGACAGCCCCTCTGAGCTCCCTTTTTCTAGGCCCTGCTGGGAAGGCAATTTGCAGACTTAAAATCCTGGACACAGCCCTGGCCAGGAATGAAGTTAGCCTGGAGCCTCTGGCTTGCTGATGCTTTCATCTCGTAAATCCTTGGGAGCCAAAGGAAATGAGTCATAAAATTTTGCTATGTGGAGAGGTTTGGAGGGCGACTGAGAGCCAATGACTAAAGCACAGGATGCTTTAGATCAGCTTTCTACAAACTAGTGCCCACCAAATTTTTTCCCCAAAGCTGCCTAAGTACATTCGATGCTGGAATCTTAATTCCTCCGGAAATTAGGAAGGCTTCTCAGAGGAATTTTGCATTCTAGTGAGATTTACTAGCAAGAATGCAGATGGAAAAATAATATTTCCTGTCTAGTGTTTTTGGAAGCAATGTGGGTGGGCCCTTCAAGATTTTGTCCCGTATTTTGTTCTATTTATGGGATGAAGCTGGCAATCATTTTAAGGCTGCACATACAAACGACCTTTACCAACTTTTATGATGCAGCATCTGGCTAATCTTGTGAAGGTAAGTAGGGTCTAGCTTCACTCTTCAAGCTTCTCTCAGTTGCAAAGGTAGTTTGGGGGAGTTATCTTGCACCCAAGATTGATTGATTGATTGATTTATTTATTTATTTATTTATTTATTTATTTATTTATTTTTAAATTTGTATACCGCCCTTCTCCCTGAGGACTCAGGGTGGTGAACAGCCAAGTAAAAACATAAACTACAAACATTAAAATATAATTAAAAAGATAAATATAAATTTGGCCCCATGATTAAAACAATAACAGATAATTAAAAACATTTTAAAAAGTGTTAGGCCAGTCCGGCTTGTTGGAAAAAGAAGGTTTTAAGGGCACGGCGGAAGGCACCGAGGTCTTGGATTCTCCTTATCTCTGGGGGCAGCTGATTCCAGAGGGTAGGTGCCCCCACAGAGAAGGCCCATATGAGTGTTCAGAATGTGGGAAAGGTTTCAGTTGCAAGTCTGACTTGGGGAAGCACTGGAAGACTCACACGGGAGAGAAACCATATGAGTGTCTGTATTGTGGAAAAAGATTTAGCATGCATTACAATCTGTTAAAATACAAGAGGACTCACACATGAGAGAAACTCTTTGAATATACTGTTTTTGGGAAAAGTTTTAGAATTCCCACCTGGCGGAACACATACAGGAGAGAAACCATATAAATGCCCTTTCTGTGAGAAAAGTTTCAGTCTGAATTCCTACCTGGTGAGACTCCAGAGGACTCACACAGGAGAAAAACGTTATGAATGTCCCGACTGTGGGAAAGATTTCAGTTATAGGTCTAGCCTTATTACGCATGTAAGGTTACACATAGGGGAGTAATTCAAACGCCCAGATTGCAGACAGTTTTCATACAAAGTTCACACAACTTTTTAAGGCAAGCTGTTCCATTGGTTGATTGTTCTGACTGTCTTAAAATTCTCCTTATTTCTAGTTTGAATCTTTCCTTGATCAGTGTGCACCAGGGTGAATTTGATTTAAATCAAGTCAATTTAAACCACGGTTTAAATGACGGTTTAAATCACTAGTAAAAAGGCTTGATTTAAATAAACTCGATTTAAATCATAATTTTTTTAAAAAAATTTAAAAATAATCTTTATTCTATCTTTTTTAGTTTTAAAATCGTATTTCCACTTTTACAGCTTTCAGTTATTGCATTCTAATTACATATTTTCCATTTACGGCCTATTGTTTTATACATTTATGTAATTTTTTTTGTATTTATACATCTAAATACATAAAACCAATTGTTCAACTTTAGTATACGTTTTATAAATTGTTTATATATTAAATATACTTATATATACTTAATCTCTTTAACCTTTAACATCCTTTATCATATTCATAAATATATACGGTTTTCACTTTAACATGATTTCTATGTATATTCTATACATTAATTTTACATCTAGTTTCTAGCCATTTATACCACATGTTCCAGATTTTATAACACTCTGTTTCCTCTCTCTTTTAACTCCATGGTTAATTTATCCATTTCTGCACAGTCGAGTACCTTTTTAATTATCATTGTGTTTGATGGCATGTTTTCCTGTTTCTAGTTCTGGGCAAATGTAATTCTGGCTGCTGTTATGATGTGGAGTATGATGTATTGAGTCTTTTTACTTATATTTCCTTTTATGATACCCAGTAAGAACAGTTCTGGTTTCATTTCAATTTTTGTTCTGTAATTTCTTCTAACCATTTTTTAATTTTCATCCAATACCTCTCAGCTTTCGGGCATGTCCACCACAGGTGATAGAATGTCCCTTGTTCGTAATAACATCTCCAACAGTTTGCCAGTTTATTGGGGAACATTTTCACCAGCCTTGCTGGAGGTAGATGCCAACGATAAAACATTTTGTACATGTTTTCCTTATAAGATGCAGACATCGTTAATTTATAATTTTTCTCCCATAATTTTTCCCAATGTTCCAATTAGATGTTATATCCAAAATTTTTGGCCCAGATTATCATCGTCTCTTTTACTGTTTCCTCCTTCATTTTAAATTTTAAAAAACAGTTGTAAGTTTTGGTTATCATTTTTTCCTCTGTCCCTAATAATATTTTATCCAATTTTTGTTGTTCTCTTTGGGAGCCAAAATTTTCTAAATCTTTTTTATACCTTGTCTGAATTTGTAAATATTTTTTTTCATTTTCATTTTCATTTTTATTTAATTTATATACCACCCTATGCACGAAGGACTCAGGGTGGTGAACAGCCACAGATAAAACACATAAATACAAAATTTAAAAACAAAGTAAAACCGAATTAAACAATTTGGCCCAAGACAGATTTAAAACACCCCAATAATTTAAAACAGATTAAAATTTACATTTTAAAAAGGGAAAAGATTAGGCCAGGCCAGCCTGATGAAATAAAAAGGTTTTAAGAGTGTGGCGGAAGGTGCGCAGATCCGGGATCCTCCGTATCTCCGCGGGGAGCTCATTCCAGATAGTAGGTGCCCCCACAGAGAAGGCTCTCCCCCTGGGGGCCACCAGTCGACATTGTTTGGCCGACAGCACCCGGAGGAGCCCCTCTCTATGAGAGCGTACCGGCCGGTGGGAGGCTATTAGTGGCAGCAGGCGATCCCGTAGGTAACCAGGTCCTAAGCTATGGAGCGCTCTAAATGTGGTAACCAAAACCTTGAAGTGCACCCGGAAGACCACCGGAAGCCAGTGCAGCTCGCATAGGAGAGGTGTTACATGGGAACACCATGTCACTCCCATAACCACCCGCGCGGCCGCACTCTGCGCCAGTTGGAGCTTCCGGGTGCTCCTCAAGGGGAGCCCCATGTAGAGAGCGTTGCAATAGTCCAGGCAGGAAGTGACGAGAGCATGAGTGACCGTGAGTAAAGAGTCCCGATCCAGAAAGGGACGCAACTGGCAAATCAGGCGAACCTGATGAAAAATCCTCCTGGTCACGGCCGTCAAATGCTCTTCTAAAGACAGCCGTGAATCCAGGAGGACGCCCAAGTCCTCCTGGACTAGTAGACCACTGTACTACCAAAGAAGAGCCTTCGTAGTACAGTGGTCTAAGGCACCCTGTTA